CCCTTTTAGAGATTACTACAGTTACATTCAAAATGAAGGGAACATCTTTTAAAAAGCAGTGTGTGGGTCTATTGTCTGTCTCTGGCAGCAGAGGCTCGCTGGTTTCAAGGAGGGGCATTGAAAACCATTCTCTGGCTGGTGGGAAATGGGGCAACTTGTTCCAGGCTGCTTGCCCAGCTGGGCCTCTTCAGCCAACCTGCTTCCCTGCTGATCTGCTGAAAGAAGCTAACCAATCACCTGATTCCAAGTCCCTACCAATCTTCTGCAGACTGGGAAGGGGGAGATATCACTGTGTCCTTTTTCCTCTGAAAGAAAAAGAAACATGGCTGGCCATCGTTTCTACCATCGTTCTTTTTTTTTTTTCTCTGGAAGAAGGAATCTGTGACGAGAGTCCAAATGAATTTGAAGTTTGACCTGAACTTTGACATCCACACTTGACTCCTGTTAGTTATGAGTCTATCTTTGCATGCTTTTCTTGACAAAAATGCAGCAGTGTTTCATTACTACCTTCTCCTGCATGAGATATGGATTCACACCATTGGAGTGGGTTGATCAGCTGGAGAATTAACCTCTTTTAGTCTCAGTGCAATCTTAATCCAATACTTGTCACTGCTTGCACAACAGTCTAGATTCCTAGTCTAGCCCACAGCTCTGTTTTTCCCCCCTTTATGGTCTCCTATTCAAGTACTAACCCGAATTTGAATGTAAACCTTACTGTTATAAATGGCTTCCTAGTCTCCAGAGTCATTTTAGCCACCACTGCTGTGCTTTGCAGCCAACCGGGTTGCAATCTTTATTTGTTCTGTCCTTTCCAGATATAGTATTGGGCTAACATGCAAGCTGAACACTAAGTAAATGCTGAAATCCTTCAGCAGAACTGTGACTCTATGGGGAATGTCTGCAGGGTATGAAAACATTTTTCTTTGGTTAGAAAATATTCCATAATTGCTTCTTGGACGCTCTAACTGCATTTTGCGTCTGGCTTCAAAGCAGCAAAAGTTCACCCACTACCTTTCTTCATAATGTTACCAATTTCAACAGAACCCTACATGAAGTCTGGAAGGCATTTGTAATGGATGTAACACCCAGTCCAGCAGTGATTGTCAATACAAAACTCAACGCATATGTACTTAATGGCTCCTACTTTTCTTTCAAGGGCTTTGCAGATCCCCTGGGCAAGATGACTTTTTATCCTGGCTGCGCTTTGGAGATTTTTTTTTTTTTTTGCCCAACATTGTAGATCCAAATAGGGTGGGCTAGTTGAACCTAAGCTAAGAAAGACCAGCTCTTGTTAGTGCTTGCATGCGCAAATCCCAAGGAAATAGAATAGAATAGAATAGAATAGAATAGCATTCTTTATTGGGCAAGTGTGATTGGACACACAAGGAATTTGTCTTTGTGCATGTGCTCTCAGTATACATAAAAGAAAAGATATATTCATCAAGAGTCAAGACTCATAAGGTACAACACTTAACAACAGTCGTAGGGTACAAAACTGACAGATCAGAAAAATCAAACATAAATCTTGAAAGAAGGGGGTGGAAAAATCAAGGAAAAGGTGTCGATTGTATCTGTAAAAACATCACAGACTTCAGTTTAGGCCAATCTGGTTGAAATAGGTCAAACCCCCCCCAACCCCCCAACCCCCCGCAACTCCAATGTGGCTGTGCTTTCAAAGATAGGTGACAAACAGAAATCCAAAATGCTTCCTATCAACTGAATGGACTGTTGTAAAGGGCCTAAGGGGATTCTCTAATTGAAACTCAGTCTCAATACCGAAGGAACTTGGGACAGATTCATGGATCATACAGAACCGAAACAGAGGTTGCTTCTTTTTAGTTTAATAGGGTGCTTAAATCCAGCCATTGTTTCATCACACTTGTGCCAGAAGCACTGAGGGGCTCCCATGTTGAAAGGATTAGCCAGTGACATCACCAGGATGCCCAGTTGAGGGCTTCTTTCATGTCCCCAACATGAAACCTGGAGCGAAAGACAGGAGCTCACCCATCTTACAGTAGCACTCAGATGTCAAATGTGGGCTTGCTTAACCTCCAAGCCAATGTCCTAAATACATGAAACACCACGCTCCTTTCCAGCCATTAAGGCTTGTAAAGTATGGTCTATAATTCACAATATACAATCACAGCAAACTGTTTCTTTCAGCAAACCAAGATAGAGCAAGCCATGGGTTAACATACTATGTATGTGAATGCAAAGTTGGAATCAACTTTGCAGTTCTGAGTTACTCTGGCTATGTGGGGCTCATTCCCATTAAAAGGTTTGTAAGGGAAGGCTGCAGTTTTACTGAGCAACCTTTTACTTTACTAGCATGAATCCAGGTAAGAAGCACCTCTGCATCTCTGTTCTTTGTAGGGGTTGAACTTTTTTAACCTCAGTAAACTTCATGCTCAGATTACGTTGATTATTGCTAGGGTTACCAGATAGCTAAGGAAGATACAAAAAATGAAAAAAAGGCCAAATGAAGGCAAAGGGGAAGGAAGACACACTAGCACTTTCCTGGCTTCTACAGCAAAAATTACAACAAAAAGCTGCAAAAAAAGTACTTAGGTTCACATATATAAAATTACTTTTTCCAGCATCAGAAATATGGTTTTTTTTTTATCACAATATCTTTATTTTCAAGAACATATACTAGTGATAATACAGAATTGACAATACTCTCCCAATTTCACCATAGAAATGATGAGTCATTGATCTACAGATTAGATTACAGGAATCATAGATTTGAAAGAGTGGATAAGATTAATTGCTGGGATCAAGAAATAAACGTAGATAGTCCTCACTGACTGACACAATTGGGACCAGCAACCCTGTAGCTACACAATGAAGTTGTAAAATGAAATGTCACATGGTTATGCACTTGACAATTGAAAGCTAGCAGTGAATCTTGCAAATGGAAACCATGTGATTGTGGGACACTGTGACCATGTTAAATGCACATTGGTTGCCAAGCATCTGCGTCACAATTGTGTCACCACAGGGATACTGCAAGGGTGGTAAGAGCAAGCACCAGTCTCCTTTCCCAGTGCCATCATAACTTTAAATGGTCACTGAATGGTTTGTAAGCAAGGACGACCTGGAATATAAATTTAGACAGTCAAGTCAGACAAGGAAAAGAAAGAAGCAGACAATTTACAAGGTCATGATATATGAAAGTTTGAATGACTATTGTTGTGAAAACAATCTAAATTTTTAAAGAAAACCATTTAAAAAGCCAGGCAATATTTGATTTTAAGATTATGCCTGCTAGACACAGGACAAAAATGAGGACACACCACTCTTTTGGTGGTCGTGTAATGATCATAACAATAGCTCTTCTTTGATGCTCAGTGCATTCTGGTTTCTTCTCATTAGTCTTCTCTAATGTTTGGTTTCCATAACATTTCCATAAACCGTAATTATGCTTTGTTTGTGGGAGGGTTCCTTAAAAAAAAAAAAACAAAAAAAAACACCCCACTGTTCTTTGAATTTGGCTGGCTGACTGCATGACTCCAGCTGTTGTGGTTTAATATATGACTCAGTTCAGAGTGTGAACCCAAACGCCAAGCCTTGATTAAGCAACCCATAACTTAGCAAGATATCCAACCAAGGCCTCTCATTATAACGCATCAAAAAGGTTGTGTGCCAATGTTCCATCTCTTGCCAGTCTCAATCCTATGAAACCGCAGAAGGGTTCACTTCCAGGAATCCAAGCAGATCTTCCCAGTCATCTTTTCCTATTTCTCTCCCAACATTCATCCAGCTACTACTTAACCAATTCAGTTGCATAAATCAATCCATGGGGTTGAGCCTAGAAGCAAATCAATCCGATTTTAATCAAGCGTCTTCCCATTTGTATCATGTTATCGGTCATAATTGTTTCTTGCTTTATAGAACAGGACAGAATAGGGTAGACTAAACTGTATTGGCCAAGTGTGATTAGACACACAAAATGCGTAAGCTCTCAATGTACATACAACAGTAGTGATAAGCAACCAAATTATAGTCATAAGAAGATAACACTGTCAAACTATTTAGTAAGACTGTATTACTGTTATTCTTCTCATCCTTCCTATTCCCTATCTCTTCCAACTTATGACTATAACTTTGCTGCTTGTATCTTTACAATGTACATTGTTTAGTTGTTCTCTAGTATGATTTGACTGCTTATTAGTAAACCCATGACTATCACTAAGTGTTGTTATCTTATGATTCTTGATGAATGTATTTTATTTTTTCTTATGTACACTGAGAGCTTATGCATCAAAGACAAATTCCTTGTGTGTCCAACCACACCTGGCCAATAAAGAATTCTATTCTATTCTATTCTATTCTATTCTATTCTATTCTATTCTAT